TCTAATGTGAATCACTCACACTTGCACATTCGTAGGCACGGACAAATATGCGCAAAGCACAAAAAGTACATGCGCGATTTTAGCCTCCTGCCCTAAAGCCCGTTAAGAAAAAACGGACGGACGGCAGACTCGCATCAGCGTGTTGCCGTCTCCAGACGTCATTTTTTCCTGCTCGCGCGCGCCCCCTAGCGGGCACGCATGGGCAGGAAAGACCCGCTCGTTTTGACAGCCGTTAACGGCTGTTTCACATACAACCAATCAGCGGCTCTATGGCACGATTTTGTTGCCCGCCCACCTCCCCCCGCGAGTGCCGAACCCTCACCTTCAATCCCGGGATCCGCTACCCCATCTGCGGCCCGGGACCGGCTAGGGAGGGCGTCAGGAGGAAGAGAACGGGAGATCAGCTCCTTGCTGATCTCCCTCCGGGCTGTGAATGCAGAAGTGTATAATAAATGCCCTGCTGTGGTTGGAGACCACCCAGGCGTAAATGAAACATGTAGCAAAGACATGTGTGGGAAAAATCAAAAGAAATCTATATACAAAAAAATCCTATGGGAACGAACACAAAGACCCCAAGGGAGCGTCAGTTTCAACGATCAGGTAAGAAACACGTCAGTGTGAGGTTTGTGTTGAGACCCCTGGGTATGACAGTATCCAGTGTGTAGATCCAAAAGGCCTCTCGTTGAAGGAGGAATTTATCAAGATTTTTACCCACCGTGACCCCGTCTTTTATATTTTACCAAAAAATTGGGTCATAATAAATGTTTTAGAATTTAATATAGGGGAAACAGTTTTTTTTTTTTACATTTTCCTTAATATAGTAGAAAATAAACCCCAGTGGTGATTTAACACCACCCAAAGAAAGCTCTATCTGTCCCCAAAAAATGGTATAAAATTCATTTCAGTACAGCGCTGCATGACGGAATAAATGTCAAAGTACCGCAGCGCTGAATACTGAAACATGGCCTGGATGGGAAGGGGGTGTAACACCGCGGACTTCAAAGAGATGCAGGAGCTTTTTTCAGGCGGATGCCGCGCGGTTTTGGTCCCATTGACTTTCCTATGCATTGGGAACCGCGCTTAAAACTGGCACAAAATCACGCGACAAACGCGTGAAAACGGCTCAACAACCTCAATCGCCAAGGTGAGACCCAGACCTGAATCATTGCAGTTTGAAGCTGAACTCCAGAACAGGCAAATATTATCGACAGACAAGAGTCCTGTGTATCCTTCCTGGAATCTGGGTGAGCTTCCTGTAATAAAGACCGGTCACTGCTGCTCTCTCTCCTTGTGCAAGGTGACTGGTCTTGTCTCCACCCCCTCCTGTAAAAAAGAGTGCTCACTAATGCTCTCTCTCCATTTGCAGGGTGACTGGTCTTGTCTCCGCCCCCTCTTGTTGGTTGCATTGCTCTCTCACTTCATGTGCAGGGTGACTGATCTTGTCTCCACCCCCTCCTGTTGGTTACATTGCTCTCTCACCTTATGCAGGGTGACTGGTCTTGTCTCTGCCCCCTTCCTGTTGGTTACATTGCTCTCTCACCTTGTGCAGGGTGACTGGTCTTGTCTCTGCCCCCTTCCTGTTGGTTGCATTGCGCTCTCTCCATGTGCAGGGTGACTGGTCTTGTCTCCGCCCCCTTCCTGTTGGTTACATTGCTCTCTCACCTTATGCAGGGTGACTGATCTTGTCTCCACCCCCTCCTGTTGGTTGCATTGCTCTCTCACCTTATGCAGGATGACTAGTCTTGTCTCTGCCCCCTTCCTGTTGGTTGCATTGCGCTCTCTCCATGTGCAGGGTGACTGGTCTTGTCTCCGCCCCCTTCCTGTTGGTTACATTGCTCTCTCACCTTATGCAGGGTGACTGATCTTGTCTCCACCCCCTCCTGCTGGTTGCATTGCTCTCTCACCTTATGCAGGATGACTAGTCTTGTCTCTGCCCCCTTCCTGTTGGTTGTATTGCGCTCTCTCCATGTGCAGGGTGACTGGTCTTGCCTCCGCCCCCTTCCTGTTGGTTGCATTGCGCTCTCTCCATGTGCAGGGTAACTGGTCTTGTCTCCGCCCCCTTCCTGTTGCATTGCGCTCTCTCCATGTGCAGGGTGACTGGTCTTGCCTCCGCCCCCTTCCTGTTGGTTGCACTGCGCTCTCTCCATGTGCAGGGTGACTGGTCTTGTCTCCGCCCCCTTCCTGTTGGCCTTATTGGTTAATATTTGTAAATTATACAGAATTTAGAAGGTCTGGTTTTGAAAGTTCAGGGACTTCCCCTGCCGCCACCACTTTCATTTTGAGTGACTATGTGATATTTTGGAAATATACAGTAAGTCTATTTGTGGGTAAAGCGAAAACATTTCCACTTCTACTGCTAAGAATTCATTAGAACATTAGCAGCACCCAGAGAAGCTGACACTCTATAGTGCCGATCAATGATTTCTACATATATACAGTGAGGGAAATGTATCAAAACTGGATGGAAATCCCCATTCTGGCAGCTCTCCTGTTCTGCATGTGCCGGTACGTCTGATCCCCGCAGAGTAACACTGTGTACGTCCAGCTATGACATCATCAGTAATTGAATCCTTTTATGTTATTATTTAGGAATTATAATCAGACAGCTTGAGGTTCTGTGGACCAAAAGGAACCGAAATAACCATCTGCTAACCCAATGTGATGCGTGAAACCTTTCTTTGTTCCTTATCTCTGTCACCAATCCCAAAAAATAAGGATCTACTTAGTGGCGTCACAAGGGGGGTGCGGCCCGCACCCGGATGACACCATTGCAGGGGTGACACCAAAATCACTAAGAGTCATTTTGGTGTCACCCCCTGTAAAAAGTCTGGCACTGGGTCATGGACCGAAAGCCTGACAGTGTCAGGAGAGACGAGGGATACCTCATCCTGCCGGGTGAACGTCCCCTCCTCTCTCTACCGGCGTCAATCACCAAGATGGCCGCTGGCAGGTGTCAAGCAAATGGTCGCGCATGCATGATTACGTCATCATGCATGCGCGATTACGTCATCATGCATGCGCGAGGTGACGTCATACACACGTGCGATGACGACACGCGGGGGTGTCACCGGGTCTGGAGACCGGGTGACACCCGGCCTCGGGAAGCCCCTGGATCTACTCCTTACTTTAGTATAGTGGGCGGAGCCACACAAATAAGCATGTTCACCCTATTTACCTTTATCCCCGCCCCGTGTGACCCCGCCAAAATCTGTCCATACACCTCCTTACAGGGGAGGAGTATACTTAACCCCTTCCTGCCTGCAATCTGTATATTATTCTCACCTCAACCTCAGAGACAGCAAAAGTGGAAATGAACTTTAAAACAGTCTTAAATAGCTTGTCTCCTTTACATCCGGTGCGGTCACACTTCCTGGACTCTGCTCCTGTCCACCTTGGACTTTTGGGAGTCTCCGCCCCCTCTGTGTGTTCTCAGCTCCTCCTGTTACATTCACCATATTATAAATAAATAAACCGAATGCGGGAGCCTCTGATAATGGGAACTGCAGATCCAGGAACTCCGACATCTCCCAGAGAGAGTGATGACCAGTACAGACTACGATGACCAGTATGGACTACGATGACCAGTATGGACTAAGATGACCAGTACGGACTACGATGACCAGTACGGACTACGATGACCAGTATGGAGTAAGATGACCAGTACGGACTACAATGATCAGTATGGACTACATTGACCAGTACGGACTACAATGATCAGTACGGACTACGATGACCAGTATGGAGTAAGATGACCAGTACGGACTACATTGACCAGTACGGACTACAATGATCAGTACGGACTACGATGACCAGTACAGACTACGATGATCAGTACGGACTACGATGACCAGTACGGACTACGATGACCAGTACAGACTACGATGATCAGTACGGACTACGATGATCAGTACGGACTAAGATGACCAGTACGGACTAAGATGACCAGTACAGACTACGTTGATCAGTACGGACTACGATGATCAGTACGGACTACGATGACCAGTATGGACTACGATGACCAGTATGGACTAAGATGACCAGTACGGACTACGATGACCAGTACGGACTACAATGATCAGTACGGACTACAATGATCAGTACGGACTACGATGAGCAGTACGGAGTATCCAGTCCGGACTACAATGACCAGTACTGACTACGATGATCAGTACGGACTACGATGACCAGTACGGACTACAATGACCAGTACGGACTACGATGACCAGTACGGACTAAGATTACCAGTACAGACTACAATGACCAGTACACACTACAATGACCAGTACAGACTAGAATGACCAGTACAGACTACGATGACCAGTACGGACTAAGATGACCAGTACAGACTAAGAGGATAAGTATGGACTAAGAGGACCAGTGGGGACTAAGATGATCAGTACGGACTAAGATCACCAGTACGGACTAAGAGGACCAGTACAGAACTAAAGTGATCAACCCCTCAAAAAAAAAAATTAAGTTAATCCCATCCGAATAGATTAAAAAAATAATAATAATAATTTGGATCGATCTGAAACTAAAAGCAAAAATTCGAATGGATCGGAAATGCAGACAATGAATATCGAACTCCAAAATCCTAGAAGATAAAAATCAAATGTGAGTGTAACTTTAATTTCATATTCTTCCAGTGGCAACTTTAAAGAGACGTTTACCTAGCAACAAGTGACACATCAGCCAGGGGCTCTCCTATTGGCTGGAAGTTTTATAATGTAAGTGATCAGGGTTGCGGTTTGTTACATTGTAGCAGCTGATGTGAGATTCTCATTGATGGACTGTACGGGAGTGTGAGCTGTGTGAGTCTACCGAATGAACACACCGGGATCCGGTACACATGACGGAGAGGAGAAGAGCTGATACATCGTTCTGGGCTCTGGACCGGACTAGACTCGTGTGATATTAGCGGCTGGCCCCGGCTGTGTATAGAAGGCGGACCGGTTGGGTGTTATATGTCCATTTGAGTGTCACCGACCTCCGATCCCATCATGATCCCCCCGGACTGCGGACAGCCAATCAGGATCCTCTGTGCTCTGCTGCTAGTGTTCCCCCTGCTGGCGGTGCAAGCTCAACAGGGTAAGTACTGAACAGGGGCCAATGGGTGGAGCAGCCATCGCACACAATGCACCTCCACTGAGTATTAGGAGCAGACATCACACACAATGCACCTCCACTGAGTATTAGGAGCAGCCATCACACACAATGCACCTCCACTGAGTATTAGGATTGGGTGGAGCAGCCATCGCACACAATGCACCTCCACTGAGTATTAGGAGCAGACATCACACACAATGCACCTCCACTGAGTATTAGGAGCAGCCATCACACACAATGCACCTCCACTGAGTATTAGGAGCAGCCGTCACACACAGTGCACCTACCGGTACACTGAGTATAAGGAGCAGCCATCACACACAATGCACCTCCACTGAGTATTAGGAGCAGACATCACACACAATGCACCTCCACTGAGTATTAGGAGCAGACATCACACACAATGCACCTCCACTGAGTATTAGGAGCAGCCATCACACACAATGCACCTCCACTGAGTATTAGGAGCAGCCATCACACACAATGCACCTCCACTGAGTATTAGGAGCAGCCATCACACACAATGCACCTCCACTGAGTATTAGGAGCAGACATCGCACACAATGCACCTCCACTGAGTATCAGGAGCAGCCATCGCACACAATGCACCTCCACTGAGTATTAGGAGCAGACATCGCACACAATGCACCTACACTGAGTATCAGGAGCAGCCGTCACACACAGTGCACCTACCGGTACACTGAGTATTAGGAGCAGCCATCACACACAATGCACCTACACTGAGTATTAGGAGCAGCCATCACACACAATGCACCTACACTGAGTATTAGGAGCAGCCATCACACACAATGCACCTCCACTGAGTATTAGGAGCAGACATCGCACACAATGCACCTCCACTGAGTATCAGGAGCAGCCATCGCACACAATGCACCTCCACTGAGTATTAGGAGCAGACATCGCACACAATGCACCTCCACTGAGTATTAGGAGCAGACATCGCACACAATGCACCTACACTGAGTATCAGGAGCAGCCGTCACACACAGTGCACCTACCGGTACACTGAGTATTAGGAGCAGCCATCACACACAATGCACCTACACTGAGTATTAGGAGCAGCCATCACACACAATGCACCTACACTGAGTATTAGGAGCAGCCATCACACACAATGCACCTACACTGAGTATTAGGAGCAGACATCACACACAATGCACAATGATCTGTCGGGGATCCTGTCCTGTAATGCTCAGTAGGGATCAGTTCTCTGTATTTCTCTCTCTGAGCCCCTCCCCCTCCCCCCCCGGTGAGACTTGAAGTCCAGAAGCAGAATTGCTCATTTGTAGCCCCGTAGAGTTTAAAAAATGGGAACTGCCAAAAACCACCCAGAGAAGCTCATCATGTTCTCCTTCACATGACTAGTGTCAGGATATTGGGATTCTTCATCCTGAGTGTTGTCACCGTGTGAGACAAATCGCTCAGCTGTGCCGGGGACACAAGGGGGGAACTCTAATTACAGTGTAACCTTGTCATTTTGTATAGAGTAGGGAAGGGGTTAAAGTGACACTAAACTCAGGAGTGAAATCCCCAAAATATATTCCAGTCCCGGAACTATGAACATCATTGGGGGGAATTTATCAAACGTGGATCAGCTAAAATCTGGAGCAGCTGTGCATGAGAACCAATCAGATTCTCTCTTCGGATTGTTCAGTTAAGATTTGAAAATGAAAGAGAAGCTGATTGGTTGCCATGGGTGACTGCTCCAGATTTTAGCTGCTCCACTTTTGATAAATTCCCCTCAATGTATCTTATTTGTGTATCACTCGGCTGCAGATCCTCCAATCATCTCTGAATTGGTGCTGACACTGTCCTTCCTTCTGGAGGGGGGCTACTTCTGTTCCCCATGGTCCCTGTGTGTGTTGTAAAGTAGTCACCGCTCCAAGCTCGCTCCCGGAATGGACTACAATCTCATGTTTAGTTTACTAATTTGTATTGAGATTGTAGTCCATCCCGAGAGCGAGCTTGGAGCGGTGACTACTTTACAACACACACAGGGACCATGGGGAACAAAAGTAGCCACCCTCCAGAAGGAAGGACAGTGTCAGCACCAATTCAGAGATGATTGGAGGATCTGCAGCCGAGTGATACACAAATAAGATGTTCATAGTTCAGGGAAATGAATGTATTTGTAAGATTCACATTCTTAGGCCCCGTTCACATTGAGCGATTTATCGCGCGATTTTTGTAGCGATATCGCTTATATTTCCGCACTATATCGCTCTATGTAGCTTCACCAATACAATTCAATGTAGCTGTTCACATCTCGTCGCTCAATGTCGCTCAATATCGCTCAATATCGCTTGTAGCTCGTCGCTGGTAGCTTGTCGCTTCTACATGACCCTTTTTTAGAGCGATTTTGAGCAATATTGCTCCTGATTGCATTCAGCCCAATAGGAAGATGTCGCGCGACACGTCGCTCAATGTCGCTCGATGTCGCTCGATTTGCATGTCGCTCAGTGTGAATGGGGTCTGATTGGTGTCACTTTAAATCCTCTGCCAGGTTATTTTTTGCTGTCTGCGTACCATTGGGGAAATTTCACTTCCTGTCTCGGGGATGCAGCAGGAAGTGAGAAGAAATCTCCCAGGGGAGGGGAATTCCACTCTTAGGCCCCGTTCACATATAGCGAATTGTCGCGCGATTTCCGCCGCGATATCGCGCATTTTTGCCGCGCGATATCGCGAGAAGTCGCCGGCCAATGTTATTCAATGGAGCTGTCTTAACTCCATGTCGCGCGTCGCTCGTCGCGGTCGCAAGTCGCTTCTACCGGACCCTTTTTTCGGCGGATTTTGCGCGATTTTACTTTTTTTCTATGGAGCCCGACGGGGAAGGTCGCGCTACCGTCGCTGGATCGTCGCTGGAACGTCGCCCCGAAAGTCGCGCTATCCCGGCCGTGCGGATCCGCTGCAAAAGGTATGTCGCTATATGTGAACGGGGCCTTACATTGAGCAATTTATCGCGCGATTTTTGTAGCGATATCGCTCATATTTCCGCACTATATCGCTCTATGTAGCTTCACCAATACAATTCAATGTAGCTGTTCACATCTCGTCGCTCAATGTCGCTCAATATCGCTCAATATCGCTTGTAGCTCGTCGCTGGTAGCTTGTCGCTTCTACATGACCCTTTTTAAATCGCTCAATGTGAACGGGGCCTTAGGTGTCTCCATTGTGTTGGGCACAACTTTAGTACTTTAGATTTCCTTTCACTTTCTCTCTCAGTGACACAGAGAGGTGAATATTAATACTAAAACCTTTAGGGCCCGTTCACGCCAGATGCAGTGCGTTGCGGCCCGATTCTGGCCAGAACGCATTGCGGCCGGCACACTTTTTTGTGGGACAGGAGGGGGCGTGGCGGTCCATTGAAGTGAATGGCCCTCCGGCCGCAATCGGATTGGCCGCACGGGATCGCAAGGCACATTATGCCTGTGGTCCGGTGCGATCCAAATAGTGCCTGCAGCATTTTGATCGAACTGGACCGGACCGCAGGTATAATGTGCCTTGCGATCCCGTGCGGCCAATCCGATTGCGGCCGGAGGGCCATTCACTTCAATGGACCGCCACGCCCCCTCCTGTCCCACAAAAAAGTGTGCCGGCCGCAATGCGTTCTGGCCAGAATCGGGCTGGAACGCACTGCATCTGGTGTGAACGGGCCCTAAGGCCCCTTTCACACAGTCCAATCAGGAGAGACCTGTGCAAGGATCCCCATCTGGTAGGGATCGGATATAATCGATCTGATATCAGTGTCCGTACAGTGCGATGGAGGAAATACTGAGATGACCGGACCCCATGTCTGTCTGCAGGGGATCAGATGTGACCGTTGATATCACATGACCTCCGATCCATCACAATCAGGTCCAGTGATACAGAACATTGTGCCATTTGTTGTCCTGGACCCGGCCCGGAGTTGGGGGTAACACCCGTCCATTTAGACCCATAGTGAGGCCTTAAAAACTGACAGATGGACCCGATTGGACCGCCACAGTGAAAGGGGCCTAACACCTCAGCCGGGTTATTTTTTGCTGCACCATTGGGGAAATTTCCCTTCACTTCTTGGCTCGGAGAGGAAATCTCCCAGAAGTAGGGAATTCCACTCCCCATTGTTTTGAGGACAACGCTATTAATTTGTATTTCCTTTCACTTTCTTTCTCAGTGATGGGACACATAGAGAGGTGAATATTCCCGGGGGAGGGGATACAGACTGTAATAAAAACCCAACAGAAGGTCTAACCCCTCCCCCGCGCCATCCTAAACTAAGAAAAGGTTTTGCCTAGAGATACATTGTAATGGGAGAATGATGGAAGGTGTCATGGCTGCTACTGAAAATCCTAATTGCCTGGCTGTCTCTGGCTTCAGTACTTTTAGGGCCCACGTATGCGTTGCAGTAATGTGTGACACCCCAAAATGCTGATATAATATGAGACAACACACCTGTACTGCAGCACACCACACGTGGCACATGGGCCCTCCGGACCAACTTGTCTTGAATTGTAACTGTAATGTCTTCCTTCTATTGTAAAGTGCCGCCAATCTGATGGTGCCATATACATGTAATGTGTGTAATAATTAGGGATGCACCGATACTAGTATTGCTATCGGTGCCGATACCGAGTATTTGGGCGAGTACTCACCCAAATACTCCCGATACTTACCTCCGATACCGGTACTTCCGGTCAGTGGCAGATCTCCCTCTGATCGGCAGTGCCGAGGGAGCATGGAGCCGGCTTCCTTTCCAATCTGGAAGCCGGGCGGTGGGTTATGACCCATCTCCTGCCTTCCTGATTGGCTAGGAAGCTGACTTCACTTGTAGCTAGGCAGCCTGGCTTCCCTAACAGGAAGGCGGACGGGACCTCATGACTGGCCATGATTGGTCAGCAAGCCAGGCAGCCTCGGCACGTAAAGCCGGTGTTCTTTCGCTGGAACACAGGAAATCAGGAATCCGGGCAACGGGTCATGATCCGCCGGCTGACTTCCTGATAATCTTGGCACACGGCACCGATACTCAGTATGAGTATGAGACTGAAGGGGAGGACGGAGGTCAGATAGAAGACTGAAGGGGAGGACAGAGGTCAGATAGAAGACTGAAGAGGAGGACGGAGGTCAGATAGAAGACTGAAGAGGAGGACGGAGGTCAGATAGAAGACTGAAGGGGAGGACGGAGGTCAGATAGGAGACTGAAGGGGAGGACGGAGGTCAGATAG